CACCGGTAGTCCTTTCCAGATCCATGTTTCCGCCGCAAAGGCAGCGGTGGACGCGCTCAGCCGTGTGTTGGCGGTGGAGTTGGGACCCTTGGGCATTACCAGTAATGTATGTTGTAACGGGGAGAGAGTAAGGGAAGACGGGCTGATGTGTGTAGGTTGTCGCCCCCGGCCCGATCGCAGGCACCGAAGGCATATCCCGTCTTGCGACGGAATCGTACATGGAGGCAGTGCGCAAATCTACGCCGTTGCAACGACTGGGCGAGGCATACAACATCGCCGATGCGACTATATTTCTGTTCAGCGAGGCCGGCAGCTATGTCAACGGTGACATCATCGTTGTCGACGGCGGAGCATGGCACAGACAGGGCAGCTTGGGAGAATACCCCGACGTGTTGCTCGATGGGACCGTGATCGAGGGCGTCAGGGGCATGAAGGGTAAGAAGGGGGAGAGTAAATTGTGATTGTAGAGGCTGTTGCGGATTCGCGTCGCTGTTTGCACGCAAGAACACTGATTGGCTTGGAATGATTCCACTACAATGTCTGATGCTCTTATTGGCTGTATTTTTTGCATGAAATCTTCAGACGGAGAAAGGGATGTGGAAAGTGTGTTCGTTGAATACCACTTTTTTGCGCTCGGTAGCTACTCGATGCATAATATAATCAAAGCCAGAAATGTTCTTCTCATTCCTGACTGGCAATTAAATCAGTAGCTATGTAGTCCCCTAGAGCACCTGCGCATGTTACAAGAATCGAAAAACTGAGAAGCAAGAACGCGGCAAACTCCTTCCCAACAATGGCATGACAGGAATGCGAAAAGAAAACAAAGCCTTTCGAGCTTGGTCGTCTACTGATTCACTCCCCGAAAGATCAACCAAATGAGAAGAACAAGGCCAGGTTCGGATATTCCCCAGCAAAAAAGAAAATTACCAAGTTCCCATCTATTTTCGTCGTTACAATCGTGTCATTTGGAATGATCTATAAAGGTCGATCCAATTCGTTTAATCGTCGAATATTTAGGCATTGACAGCCTGAGGCTCAGTGGCCACTCCATTCTGACCCTCCTTGGAAGCCTCGGCCTTCTTCTCATCGCCCGAGTTCTCCTTGTCCTCACCTTCCGCCTGAGACTGTGAAGCATTAGCATGTTGCATCCAAGCAAGTTTGATGGGGACACTCACATCGATGGCAACCTTAACAGCAATCTCGCGTCCGTCAACCACCTTGCCGTTCATTTCCTCGACAGCCTTTTTCTGCATCTCCTCAGAAGCCAAATTGACGAAACCAAATCCACGGCCCTTGCGGGGCTCGCCACGCTGTTGAAGCTTGCGAACCATGTAACGCGGGATCGGACGGAGGGCGATCTTTGCAGACTCGGGCTGGTAGTCCTGGAAGAGTTCCTTGAGCTGGAAGGATGTTAGTCACCAAGTTCAAGGCGAGGATGGGAATTTCACACCTTTTCCTCGCTCAACTCATAAGGCAAGTTGGCAACCATAATCTTGGTCGAGCTGGGAACGCCGTTCTCAGGAGGTCCCCTCTTCTTCTTGGGCTTGAGCGCGGGATGAGCGCCCTCGTTCTGAGAAGCGGCGGGGGCAGCCTGGGCGGCGGCGTCGGCCTTGACATTGGTAGACTCAACGAGGGGGAGGACCTGTCCAGGAACAGCAGCCGCCTTCTCCTCTTCACCACTGGTGGCGGGCTCACGGTTGCCACGCTATGAACGGTCAGTTGAAGTCCAAAGAACGGCACAATTGGATGTGAAAAGTGTAGTTACCTTGGCACCACCACGTCCACCCCTTCCGCGGCCACGGCCACCACGGAATCCACCCCTGCCCTTCTTCTGACCACCTTGCTGCTGCTGAGGCTGCTCACCCTCGGTGGCAGGAGCAGCACCCTCCTCAGTGGTGGGCTTGTCCGCCTTCTTCGATCCATTGCCAGTGCCCGCAGAGCCGGGTTTCCTGGCAAGCTGGACGCTCACCTTCCGCTCCTGAACCTCCTTGCCACTGAGCTCCTCGATGGCACGATCGGCCTCCTCCTTGGTGGTAAGGTCGACGAAAGCATAGCCGACGGCACGACCGGTGCGAGGGTTGGTGGGGATCGAGGTAGACTCACTGATCAGCAACGAAGACGTCAGTAACAATTGTAAATGTGGAATAAAGTCAAAACGATAGACGACAACAACTTACACCGAGTATCCGGAAAAGAACTCCTTCAACTGCTCGTCGGTGGTGGAATAAGCAAGGTTTCCAATGTAAAGTCTCCTTCCCTCAGCAGCAGAGACGATGTGAGCAGCGTCAGTCTCGCTGGTGTCCTTCTCTTCACCGGACTTGGGGCTGATGGAAGTGTTCTTAACAGCTTCAGTGATAGCTTCAACAGTGTTGGAAGCAGCAGTCTGAGCTGTGTTCTCGGCGGCGACAACGGTTTCAGCGGCGTTTGCGGACATCGTGTAGTTGCTCTGGATGTGAGACGGGGGATGGCTTAGCTAATGGGGGTAGATGAAGCTTGAAGGAGACAGAGACAGGTAGCGGTGGAGAAGTTCTTTGGGGGGTAAGGTATGGAAGGGGGTTTTTTTTGGGTGGAGGAAAGGTGTTAAGAAAGCAAGGAAGCTTGGAGGCTCAAAAAAAAAAAAACTTACTTGAATGGTAGGTCCTGGTTGGAGATCTGCCTGATGTTTCTGAAATAAAGTGCTTTCTCTCGTTTACCTTGAGCGGATACAACGATAGAAAGGTGATGGAGAAACGCCGGTGCTTTTTATGACGTTTGAAAGAGCAACGTTAAGTGCGGCGGGAGGATTGAGGGGATGCGTTGTTCGGGAGCCGTTTAGTTGTCGAGGTCGAGAAAGTTGAGGGATACCCTTTGAATTTGGCCGAGAAGAGCAGGAATAGAAGAGACGCACTCGTTCTAAAGGTAGGAGCGGGACGGGGAGGTGGGTGAGGAAATAGCGGACTCGAATTGAATTGTCTGGGATGGACGAGAAGTTCTTTGGAGTTGAAGGAGTGAGAGGAGGAGGAAGGGAAGGAAGAGAAGATGGAAGAAAGCGAGTTCTGGTTACTTAACCAAAGGGGGTGCGCAGCGAGTGAGGAACGGGCGAACACAGCAGCGAAGCGCCAAGCCAGCACAGGACACAGCAGCAGCAGCAAGCAGCAGTACAACACAGACCTCCCAGCAATTTGGCACAGGAGCAAGTGCGCAGAGCGAGATGGATGTCGCCGCAGGGGGCGACGGGCACAATATTAATAAGCGGCACAGCCAATGGGCAAACACAACAGCTGGCAGCGCAGCCCTCGACAACTATCACGACTTCGAAAGGGAGTCTTGCGCATCTGCATCTGTCATTGGCTGCTGCGAAATTTCTCCGCCGCCATCAATCAATCACCATCGCGATCAGATACTCTTCGTTCAAGTCCACCCTGCAGCTCTGACCGATGCCCATCATTCACCATCACATCAAAAACAAAAACAAATAAATAAAAATGACGAAGTGCAGTGTTGTGATTGAGGATGCAGATCGATCTGGTATCACCATAACGGTGGGTGTTTGCATGCGCAGATGCCAAACATTTTTGCGCATTGCTTTTTCTTTTCGAGCAAAGTGCTGCAATGCTGCCCGCCGATTTGCTAGCGTGGGCAAATACCCTCGAGGCCCCGATGCCCGCTGCGCCACACCAAAATACGCGAAGAGACAGCGCTCTACTGTATAAAGCATTTATTCGATCTACATAAATGCATCTACAAGCCAGCAGGAACCGTAGGACAGCGAGGATTGTGCCCCCTCTTGGTGACAGCGAAGGGAAGCAGCAAGTCGCGCGCTTTGCTGTCCATGCAAGCAAATCGGCGGGTATTATTGCAGCACTTTGCTCTTTTCCTTTTTTTCTTCGAAGCAGAAACACTCCCCACACGCAGGTTGTTGCACGGAGTACACGATCGAAGGTGTGCAATGTCACCCGGAGAGCATCCTGACCGAGGAGGGCCGCACCATCTTCCGGAACTTCCTGCTGATACAGGGAGGCACCTGGAAGGAGAACGAGGCGCTCCAGAAGAAGTCTGAAAAAGGAGACTTCAATCCTGGACAAAATCTACGCCCACCACCGAGGCGCAAAAGCTGCTCCCCTCGCAGCGGCCCTGCAATCTTGAGATGCCACACAGTCTGTCACTTTCTCCGCCACAGATCGACTTCCCCGTGCAGCTGCGGTCTGTGTCCACTGGAGTGGCCTCGCCTTCTAGATCCTCACTGCTCGCAGTCTCCCTCCCACACTCCGCAGCCGTCCCCGCCCCCTCCGCCGTCACCACCTCCTCGGACACCACCCTGGCATGCCTCGTCGTCTCCGCGGCCGTCACATCAATGAAGCTTCTCAATAGCCCAATCGACAAGGTACTGGTCATCCATCGGTTAGGCAAAATATGGCAGCCACGGAAGTAGAGCGACATCGATAAGCCAATCATTCGGTCGTGGAGGATTGCGCGCTGTCCTGGTGATTCTTGCTTCGATTCGATTTCCACGACACTGACAACCATAAAAAAGTCAATTGCAACCCCGCAAGCAGTATGCACCTGCAAAGAAAGTTCATCTCACCAGGTCATCTCGAAGTAGCCGAAGGAAGCCTCCTGTCACGGTGGTGCCCCCAACCCTATTTCCACCACAACCCGCCGCAAGAGTTTGGTGGAGGCTATCAGGTCCTTGCCCTCAGCTGCAGAGTGCGGGGGATAGCGAGGTAAAGGTGTGGAGCGGTGAAAAAGATATTAGCTATGAGCAGACAGGGGCGTCGCGCAGACCGATGTGGGAGGTTGCGCCGGTGCGGGTGATCACAGAATATCACTCGCTAAAAAGTGTGGTATTTTTGATTAACACGGAAAAAGTGTGGTATATAGGAAATAGACCTTTAAAACTGTGGTACATATAAGAACTTTTGCCGATATTTAAATCGCAAACTCTCTTCTCTAATGTCATTCTCACACATTTCTTTTGTCTGCGGTCAAATATTACAACTGTGAGGAAACTGATGTCAAGCGACTCCGTGGCGCAATGGTAGCGCGTCAGATTCCAGTCCTGAAGGTTGCGCGTTCAACTCGCGTCGGGGTCAACTTTCCCCTGCATCATTCCAAGTGATGTGGGAGTTTCCTTTTGTCTACGTACTTTTTCAGTACCAACCATGTTGAAGCAATGAGTTCCCTCATCCCCATACAACACTTTTTTTGGTTGGGGAGCATCTAGAGGAACCCCGGAACTTTTGGAAGCTCTCGTAAGGCAAATCTCGTGGAATGATTACAATTTACCATTATTCTTCAAGGCAGCAAATAGACCTTCAACCCATCTACGAGAGTCATGAAAAAGCTCGATACCAAACAATCAACTTACCACAAGCCCACCCACAGGATTTTCCAGACCCAAAAAGCAAAGCCAACCCCATCTCCCTAGACTCGATCGGCCGGCCGCACTCACATGGACGCATTGATGGTCTATAGATATCTCAAAACGGAGATTTTTGAGCAGCTCTTATAACTATAGATATAGATGTGAAAAATTGCATGTCATCGCCGTCAAGGAGGGTCAGCTCACCAGTAGATGCTTAGTAAACCGCAAAACTTAAGCTGCCAGGGTAGAGGCGCCTCGCGTTAAGCGACAATAGGGAAAGGCCGATATACCGAGGCGCCACGGCGTCTGGACGGCCATAGGCGCCGGGGAGGACACAGCGAGAGTTGGAAGTCAGATTCGGTCGCAGAACCGGAATCCGGGCTCTCCTAGATGGGAGATCGTCTGGATTTGCTCAGCCCTGTGGTGTGGATCTTATGGTCAGTCATGGAAACTACTTAAGGAAAAGCGGAAATGGAGCCTGAGACGGCACGGATGAGGAGGGTTTTTTTTAATCATATGGTATTCGGCCGCTTGCGGCCATCACATATGCAAGAGAGAATGCTACCCCTTAGGCTAGGGGCCTGCGGTCCTTCTAAGGAAATAAATCAAGGAAATCGCACCGAATAGATAGACGGACCAAGGAGATTCGTAACACGCTTAGGAAAAGAGACCAGTCGTTGGATTATACCGCCCCTCCCGGCCATGTTCCAATCTTAGTTGTGCTTCGGAAATCCATCACCGCTTCCGTACACCTGTCATCCGCTAGCAAAGCGGCGGTGGACGCACTCGGCCAGTGCTTCTGCCGCCCTTCTTTTGTCGCGTCTTTAACCGCCTTCCATAGGACCATCTTTTCGCTCTTCCACCTCTTGCAGAACTCAAAGAGGTGATCGTGGATCTGGACCGCCCCCGTGTTGCACCACCAACATCTCTCGTCCGTTCGGCGCCCAGCCTTGAGATAGTAAGGGCCCTTGCCAAGTATTAGCTGAAAGAAGCGTGACGCCAGCGCCTTCCTAGTCTTGACGGCGGTGAGGTTAGCCTTTCTGCGTCGCCAGCAGTACTTCTTGGGCGTGCGCTAGCCAAGCCTCTCTGTCGTGGGACTTTGGCTGAGTCGAGCACTTCCAGGTCCGCAGACCCACGGTTGCCGTGGCCCTCGGCGGCTTCCTTCAAGAGGCGGTCGGCCAATTCGTTACCGAGGACCGGATGGGAAGGGTTTGTTTTATGACAAGCTGCCTTGGAACGACAAGGCAATATTTTTGTTGCCCGTTCACATAGCATGGAACCATCACGTGTTTTGAAACCCAAAGCCCTTGAATTTTGATGCGCCTTTATGTAGCAAAACAGCTCGCCCTCGAAGAGAAAGCAGAAAGAAGAAATCACCCGCAAATACCCATTTTACATCACAACACCGGAGTTGGAGGCAATACGCTGTCAATAGTTAGCGGAACTGCCCTCCAAAAAATGCAAAAAGTACGGTAATACTCACAGGCCACAGGTCAGCAGCCTCCTTTCCGACGGGGCCAGTGATGGCGGATCCCTTCATCTCACCCTTGGGGTTGACGATGACACCAGCGTTGTCCTCGAAGTAGAGGTAAGCACCGTCGGGGCGCTTCCAGGGCTTGCTCTGTCGCACGACGACAGCGGGCATGACCTTCTTCCTCAGCTCAGGCTTTCCCTTCTTGACAGTGGCCATGACCATGTCACCAACACCAGCGGCGGGGAGACGGTTCAGGCGGGCACCAATTCCAGTGACGGAAATGATGTACAAGTTGCGGGCACCGGAGTTGTCGCAGCAGTTCATGACCGCACCCCTAGCAGCAAATATCCATCAGCCCTGTTTCTAATCCTCCTCCAAATCCAAACGCGTCGCAGCAATCTGACTCGTCGCAATAGCGGGAGACGTACACAGGGAGACCGAGGGTCATCTTGAGCTTGTTGCCGGCGGCACCACCGCGTCTATAATCCAGCCACCATCAGCCTCCGCAATTCCCACGACCCAAAATTTCCATCCTCGTCCGTCCTGTATCGAAAATTGAGCGTACCCTCTCTTAGACATGTTGTTTGGCTGTTGTCGTTAATACGGGGATTCTCGAGACTTCGGGTCTTCGGGAGGGCGTCGTTCGTCGGTCGTCGGTCTCGTCGTTTTTTTTTGTTGGGTTGCAAGCTTGGTTGGGAATGCGTGCCCCGATCGTGTTGTGGGGGCTTGGCGCTGTGCGCTTAGCAGTCACCGCTCGCCCTTCAATGGAGGTCAGGTGACGCACAACGCAGCGAGAAAATGATGGAGTTTTCAACACTCGCTCCTCAGACCATTTATTTGCTCGTTGTTGCAGATAATTATTCGCGAATGTTGGGATTCACATCGAAATCTGTTCGATTAGTATCAGCTGCCCATGTTCGAATTCTCCTTAATGTCCTATGTATGTGGAGTTCGACGTGATCCCCCATGATCTCATCCCACTTGCGCTATTTCTGTTCTGTGCTTTGGTAATCAAGTCACTACTCTAGACTCTAGACTCTAGAGTATATTCCACGTGACTCTGTGTAACTAAAGCTCACGGCGGAGCGCGGTGCCCCACGTCACGGTTTGTTTTGCTCTTGAACTAATTCAAGGCACCGCCGCCGCGTTTCTTGGACTCCTCTACAGTACAGTTAACCTCACCATACAAAGCCGCCGCCCCGTCCTAATTGTCGATAACCCTTCATTTGATATGCCTGCAGCCAGACCGAAACGTGCCGCTGCACGTCGCCAACGCGTAGTCGAATCTTCATCCGACGAAGAGCCAGAGGTGGTGGACGAGACGGAAGAACAGGAAGAGAGCGATGATGAGGAGGAACAGGTCGAAGAAGAAGAGGAATACACCCCAAAGAAGGCTGTGACACCGCGCCGAAGCTCTAACCGGGCACCATCGGCCACGCCCTCAGCGTCGGTTGCCACCACCAGCCGGGCGCGCCGGACACGCTCTGGGGAGGTCCAGACACCACCAAGCACGCGAGGGAGAGACCGAGGAAGGGGAAGAGGAAGAGGCGCTCGAGCAACACAGGGCGGGCCGCGCATTTCTGAATCGCCGTCCGAAGCTACCCAGGACACACCTGCACCAAATTCGCCAGCAGTTCAGACTCCCCAACCTGAGCCAAGGACGCTAACGCCCAGAGCTCGCGCTGCTACACCCAAGGTCCCTCCTACTCCTGCACCGCAGCCACAGACACCCAAGCATGTGACCCCCTCTTCAGCGCAACAACCTGTTCCTTCCCAACTTTCACCAGCAGTCCAACCGTCTCCGGCACGGTCGCTGCGGTTAGGGGCTCCCGGTGCCAGTGCGGCCGCTCCGCCATCGGGCAGCCGACCACAGTCGTCCTCATCGTCGCAGGCTCCCCCGTTCTCTCAAATCGATCCGATCGTCATAAAGTCACGAGCAAATGCCTTACTATCCCAGCCGCTGCCTTCAGAAGATGCTGGCCCCAAGCAGCGACTGGTCATCACGCATCTGGTGCTCAATAATTTCAAATCATATGCTGGAGAGAGGATGGTGGGGCCGTTTCACCCTTCGTTCACATCGGTGGTGGGGCCCAATGGATCTGGCAAGTCCAATGTCATTGATTCACTGCTGTTTGTTTTTGGATTTAGAGCTAGTAAAATGCGACAAGGCAAACTCTCCGCTCTGATCCATAACTCTGCCGCGTTTTCGAACGTGGATTCTTGCTCGGTCGAGGTTCACTTCCAGGAGGTTCTCGACCTGCCGGATGGAACCCATGAAGTCGTCCCCAACTCCAAGCTGGTCGTTTCCAGGCGCGCGTGGAAGAACAACACGAACACATATTACATCAACGGCAGACGAAGTAATTACGAGGAAGTTACAACTCTTCTAAAAGGACGCGGTATCGATCTGGATCACAAACGTTTCCTCATTCTCCAGGGCGAGGTCGAATCCATTGCACAGATGAAACCGAAGGCCCAGGCCAAAGACGACGACGGCCTCCTTGAATATCTTGAGGATATCATCGGAACAAGCAAGTACAAGCAGCCAATTCTCGATTCGGCGGCTGAACAGGAGGAGCTCAACGAAGTCTGCATGGAGAAGAGTACGCGTGTACAGCACGTAGAGAAGGAAAAGAACGCTCTACAAGACAAAACAAATGTAGCCCTGGAGTATATCCGGGCCGAAAATGAGCTGGCTCTGGAGAAAAATGCTCTCTTCCAGCTAAACATGCGGGAGAGCGAAGAGAACATTCACATCACCTCAGAGCTGATAGTAGGCACACCTGAATTCCCGAGACAGAACGCAATGCTGATTGATTGGTAGGCGAAAGTGCAAGCGGAGCTGGACGCTGAACTTGAGAGTTTCCGTGGCGCTGAGCAAGAAATCAAGAAGCTCGAGAAGAAGTGCAAGATCGGGGCTAAGGAAGTCGAGGTAAATATCCTGTTGCAATGTGGCCCAACAATCATGGAGGTTCTGACAGCCCCCAGGACATCGAAGAGCAAACGCAGGCTATCCTTAGGGAGACAAGCCGAGCAGAGAAGGAAAAGGTCAAGTTTCAAGAGAAGGAAAAGTTCCTCGTCCAGAAACAAAAGAAATTGCAAAAGTCAATTCAGACGAGCAAACTTCAAGCATCAGAAGCCACGGCTATGATTGGGCGTCATCGATCCGACATCGAGCGGCTTGGCGAGGAGGCTTCCCAACTCACGGAAAATCTCGAGGTCGAAGAGGCAGAGCTAGCTAAGATTACAGACGA